TGAGAACTTGATGGCTTTCTGAGATAAGAGATTTTGTTTGGAAAAAAATCTAGTGCAATGGAAAAAAAAATAGAGCTTTATTCATCTTTAATAAGCCCAGCTATATCTTCCATCACCTTTTAGAGATATCAGAATTTGGGTTTTATTAAAGAGAAAACTAGTAAGCACTATAGTTTTATTTATATATACTAAGTTAAAATATTTAATCAAAAGCATTTATAAATTATTTTTTATCCCCAGGATTTACAGAAAATACAGCAGTATTTCTCTTGTAAAATAAAACTTACCAACATTTTATAGTAGGTCTTTTAAATTTATGTGTTAACTTACACGTGCATCGGAAACTGGATTAGTTTTACATTTTCTTGTTATTTATTTAATTCATTTCTTAAAATTGGATAATGAATTTCTCCAGAGTCTTATAATATGAGAGAATCTCATAATTTTTTCCCCTAACTGCTTTCTATATCATCAAAATAATGTAAACACCACTCTCTGGCCAAGTCCAAATGTCCAGCTAGTGGAAATGTTTATTAGTAACCTTCCTCAAAGCAAATCACCTACTGCATTATTCACTCTGCCATAGCTCTGTTTAGTAACTTTATGGCAAAAAACCACTGTTTCATTGTAGTGAATTGTTCCTCCTTACCCTCAGGAAGTTCCACAACAGTTAATTATTGGTTTGCAAGCGTTGATAGTCCAGAGCACAGGAGACAAAGAAGAAATTACTCAGTAAAGCAGTGATAAATTATCAGATGGTAGAAGACTAAGCTCCCATTTTATTTAACAGTAAGCTGGTCAATATCATCTTTACAGCCTAAAAAAATATATATATGTTTTCATAGACAGATTAATCTGGAATTTAATCTAATTTTTGGCTTCTGGTTATAAATAGTACTCTCATAAAAGTAGCTCAAAGGAATTTTCAGGCTATGTAGGGAGACATATAATGAATTTAGTCATCAGTTGGGGCAGGGATGGCAGTGATTGCAGAGGAACTGTGTCACAGTGTGAGACCTGGATGTGGATTTTTAATTCCCATTTAATCAGGTTTTGAATATGCCTATCATGTGAGATACAGAATTGGAGTAGAATTTGCTGTTCATTCCCACATGTACACATATAAACCCACTTCCCTAGTGGCATAGTGTAGACCAAAATTATCAAGAGATGTTCCGGAGACACTTTATTTAAATAACATTTCTTTTTAATAATTTACTCTCAATCTGCATCAGGTAGTGACAGATTTAGAGAGTAAAGGGAAGGAATCCTGAGCATCATCTTGTCTGAGGGTGACTTTCTGACAAGATTTCTGCTAAAGGATACCTTGCAGGAAGGCACCCAGAAGGTCCCACTGTCCAGCTCTAGGGTGCTCACTGTCACCACTGGGTGTCTCACCAACCAGCTTTTTGAAGAAGACGTGGGCACTGATGATCCTTGCTGTGACTGCACGAAGGAAGAACATATTCAAATACCAGTAGCAGCTTACAAGAAGACAGTAAGCTGGATCTGTAAGTTACAGGGGCAAACAAACCTACCTGACATCTAGTTTCAAAAATGTTGGCATGTGTGCAGTACCAACCTGATGTTTACATCTCCCTTGTGAAGAAATTCAGCCATTATTGCAGCTGCACTACTAAAAACTGTTTCTGAATAGAGATAAAGCCAAGAAAAGTGAAAACCTTCCCCCCCTCCAAAAGGTTATTTTTCTTCCTTTCATTGCCTTGCTTTCCTACTCTGCCTGTACTGTGAATGCATTTTTTCCATATATAGTTCAAATTGTTGCTACTGATCATGCAATTAGTTAATTAGCTCTGAAGTGGTTAAGACAGAAGTAAGAAAGTTCTCCTGATTGAGGACTATACCTGAAACCATGCATTTTTGTGGAATTACCCTGCAAAATCATCACACCAAAATGGCATTAAGGAAAGACAAATTAAGCAGGAGAGTAGTAGCCATGGGAGTTTTTAAAGTTAATCCACCATATTGCTGCAAAAAGGTTTGCCATCTGGATCCCTGTTTGCTACAATATTGAGTCTTCATGGCATTTCCTCCCCTTTATCTTCATTTTCAGCTATCATCCATGGGAGAGCTGAGTAACCTGAGCAGCACTCCAGTGCTGCATCACGTCTGTGTGATACAGGATGCTCTCAGAAATCCCAGTTACAGTGTGCAAACAACTAACTGTCTTCTACAACAACTCTGCAGCAATTTGTGTGTCAGCAGCCTCTGACAGGCTCACAGGTATGCAGCAGCAGCAGTCTTAGAGGTTTTGGCACTCTAAAAGTACACAAAACCCAGCTCTTGCTTTTTCCAGACAGAAGATTTGGATGCTGCACGGCTTTACCAATCACTCTCGATTCCAATAAATCCATTAAGCTTTTGTGAGCTGTTTCAAATCTCCCTCTTTAGGTCTGCTAAAGGCAAGCAACAGCTGCAGAGACCTCTTTGCACCGAGTACCTCGAGACACTAGGGGGCTGGTGGGCTCGGGAATCGCAGCGCTGGGGCTGAGACTGTAACCTAACCACAGGCACCCGGGGCTCTGACTCGCAGGGCAGAGGAGAAACGCATCAGCAGCTGCATTTGATATATCAACAAATCTGCTCCGAAGAAGAGCACGGCTGAGGCAGCCAAGGGGTCAAAGTGAATTAACTCTCGCATCCTCCAGCGCAGTGGTGGAGGTCAGGAAGGAGCCTGATGCACATTAAAGCAGAAGAGGAGACCTTATATGTCTCAAAGGGAATTAAAGAGAGATGTTTGGGAGGATGTTTTTCATTGGATATTTTTTGTATTTTTTTTTTTTTCTCCTAGGCTTTGGTGAGGGGAAAGGAAAAGGGTGTTTGTTCTCAGATATCTGTTGTTGTCACCATAAACAGACAGGATTTTTTCCTAGTGAGTGAAAAAACGAATTCCCCATTTCGGCTACTTTTCCTGGAATAAACCCAAACTTTAAAGGAACAGAGCCAGGTCCTCAGGTCACAGAAATTCAAACAGCACCAAGGGAAAGTGAGATTTTGCACCAGTTTGCACCTCTGTAAACAACTTCTGTTCATGTAAACAATTTCCTACTGATTTCAGGAGAGTAGTCTGATTTTCTCTCCCTGGAAACAGGTTCTGACCCATTAAATTGTTCTTTTTCTCATACATATTTAAATATATTTCATGTCTGCAGTCCCTGCATATCTGCTGTGTGGAGGTGGGTGGCTAGGAGGGGATGACCAGAAACTTTCCACCTAAGCCCCAGATTGATTCAGCTGTCATTAAAAATGACAGATGAAAGGGACTAAGAGTTTTCCCTGTCCCCTGAGGAGGAGACACTAAGTGACAGCTCAGTGGGCTGAGGACTGGAGCAGCTGGGAGGCACAGCTCTCCAGCCAGGCTGACCTTGCCAGTGGTGAGCAGCACAGTCCAGCCTGAGTGAGGACAGGCTGCCAAAGAGGCGGCCCTGGACATTAGGAATGTTAAATTCACTTTGAGCACGCATGGATAGCTCCACTTGTCACATTTTGGAGAGGCAGGTACCCCACAGCTCCCAGCACTTCCCAAGTACTGAGAGGATTTTAAAAGAAATAATTACAACATGCCTTAAGAGAGTTTCTGAGATGGTTTTATATAACACAATTCCTGTCTGGTTTTTTTCTTCACTTTGAAGTTACAGAAATCTGTGGTATGACCCATTAATAGAATATTTTTAGTAATAGAGAAGTCACTGAGATCTAGAGGCAGCTAGGATTATTTAACTTTTTTAGATGAATTATCTCTAGACACACATGAACATATGCTGCCTCTGTAGTTTCAAGACCATTCTACTTCTACCTGCAGGGGAGGACCATCTCTGCTGCTCATGCAATTTTGATAAACTACTGACAGGAGAATTTTGCTAAGGAAAGATTACTCAAATCACTTTACATCCTTAAAATGCACTGAGATAGTAGTGGGCTTCTCTGACCTTAGAAACATCCCAAAATAAGTTTTCAGTAAGGGAAAATGTAGGATGCACCAAGTGAAAACTTAAGCATCATAAAATTAACAATGCCTTGGAAATGTTTTAAAGCCGTATAGCATTAGGGAAATACCATCCCATTAGAGACCAGCATCTGAACTGTATTTGATTTTGACTGCTGAAGACCTGTTAGCAAAAGAATCCACAAGTAAAAGCAACAGATCAAGCTGGCTGCAAGTAAGTAACTGGTACAGTCAGCTATGTACTGCAGTATATGCTTATCTATAATGGGGGTTTTTTGAGGAAATCCTTATATATGGCTTATCACAATATCTCAACCTGCATAATTCTTTGTTCTAAAATCCCATCCCCTTTGAAAAGTCAGAATTATCATAAAAATCTTTGGAGCAAAAATCTAAACACTATGAATATTCATGCTCTTCACAGCTGTTGCATTTATGGAAATGCAATAACAGCAAACTTCTTGTATTTGGCAAAGACTTTTTACCAGATGAATATATGCCAGTAAAAGAATTTAAGTGAAATGAAAAGCCTGGCTCACTTCTGTTTTTTAAAGAAGTGTGCTGCAGTCCAGAGCATTTTGAAAGTTGGAGTTCTTTTTTTCAAATCTCAAAACATGTATGCAAATTTCAGCTGTAAGTGCATACACAGCCCATATTTAATAAACACATCTTTTTGAAAGCAATGTTCCATGCCCACAGTTAAACAACCAATGAATGGACATTTTCCCCTGATAGAAATAACAGCAGTCTATTTGCTTGTGGTGCTACATGCTGTCAGAGTTGTCATCTTTTCAGAAAGTTTATTCCAGAAATTTAAATTTACCCCTTAACAGACAATCAGCAATGGCTAATTGAAAGGGAGAGAAAAACCAAAACAGATTACCTGTCTGTTTATTCCTAATCCTATGATTTGTTAAAGCCCTTCTCCATCAGCTATCAGTGCAAAACTGCATATACCAGGAATGTCTGCAAGTGAGATGCACAGACAAAAACATTCAGCACAAGATGTAAGGTAAAGAGGATTGCAACATACCTTCAGCAGCGTGCTCCTTCCTCGCCAGCCAGCCACTTCTCAAGAATGTGCACTACAGATGGGACTAGGAAAGTGATTTTAAATGGACTACTAATAAGTAGGTCCCTGAAACCAGATGTGACAGCAGGGTGTCACTAGGTCCTTTTTAAACTTGCCTCCAGTGCCGTCTCCAAGCTCCTCCAGACAGAATCAGACAGTTGCTGCTCGGATCAGAGCTGAGGAAGCAACGGTGCGTTTTGACTGCAGTTGCTAATGCTCCACTTTCAGGGAAAGCGCAGAAGTATGTGTGTGCCTGCACTAACTGCACACACTCATCAGCCTGCTACAAGCAGGGAGATGTGATATGCATACTGAAAGAGCTGTGCAGGGAGGAGTAGTTCAGAAGCACACCCAAGCCTGTTCTGCTGGTAATTGCACCCTGCTGACCTCCCTGGGCTGGATCACTGCTGTAGCATTCACCAATAAGTCTATCAGTCAATAAGCAATGGATCTGAAACTGTGCATACAGGGAGGGGAGAGGAGAGGGCAAATGCATCTCCAGCTTTCAAACACAAAACTTTCAAGATAGCTTGTTTAAATTTCTCTGCCCTTAATGTTCCCACTGCAAATGCCATGGTCCATAGTTGAAAGCAATTGAATTTCATTTTAATTAATAATCTGAAAGAGGATTTCTCTAGCCATGATAAAGCATATTTTAAAGAGTCCCTAATGAGAACTACCATTGTTCCTGGGGTTATAGGAGTGCAGTAGTCAGCTGTGAAGATGGCCCCACAGAGCAAGGTGGTACTGACTCACTCTGAAATCTGGAGCTCACAGTCAGGTAGGATAGGACAAATGAAAGAAATATCAACATCTTTACTTTTCATGGGAGAAAATGAGCTTCAATGGGGAAGAGGTATGTCCAAGGTCACACATGGAATTTGAACCCAAATCTCCTGCACCCAATTCCAGTTTCTTGCAAATAAAACTAAACTGCTTCTGTAGACAAAAATTATCAAAATACAAAGCAGCTCAGGCTGCTGCTAACAAAAAAATTCATTATGAGCCAAAATGGCATCTTCATGTCTTCTTTTTAAATGCACTGTTTTCAAGAGTTTGATCATACAAACTTAACATCTAACTCTTCTGGAATGTTCTCCAACCCTCTCCTGGGAAACTGAGCTGTCACATTAGCTTGCACACCTTTTCCACAAAGCTGTAGGATTAAAATTCCTTTGGCTGGCCAAGCTCTACTCTCTCAATATTGAAAGATCCACTTCTTGGCCCCTCTGTGGTATTTGTCTTCATGGGTTAATGGCGGGGGGGGGGGAATCTCAAAATCTATAATAAGTAATCAGCACAAGGGTCTGGGAGCCCTGATATGGCTCTGGAGATTATTCTCCCTGGGACTGACTGTATGCTGCTTCATTTGGGGGGTGTGATAAGATCACAGTTCAAAGGGGATGTGGCTGCAGGACACAAACAGTAGGATATGAAAAATCCTTATGGAGATGTGCAGACTCCAGAGCAGCAGAAGGTCTACAGGGAATATTTTTCTGAGTAAGAAGAAAGTTTCCTTTTTTGGTTTATTGTTATTTGCAGATGAGTGGGGAGAACAAATAGCCTTAAATCCATTGTTCAGCAACCTTAATGAACAAACAATACAAGACAGACACACTGTAGCACAAGTGGAGAAAAAAAAAAGTCACACATAAAACACATTAAAAATCCTACATCTCTGTTTATAAATGTATTTTTCTAAATATGAACCTTTATTATCTCAATAAAATCATGCAGTATTAGCTCAGTTCAGCTTTACAGTGACAATGAAAGTTTTTGCTTGTGAAGAAGAATTTTATCCCTGAAAACAGCTTTGGAAAGAATAGGTTTTGGATATCTACAGCCTCCCTGGGGAACCTCTTTCAGTATCTCACCTCCCAAACACAAATTTCTTCCATATGGCTAATCAAAATATCTCCTCTTCCAATTTGTACACCTTACTTTTGATCCCATCCCTGCAGTTCCTGGTGAAGGATCCCTCTCTGGCTCCCCTGCAGGCTGCCTTCAGATATTGGAAGGTTGCTGTGATGTCTCCATGAAACCTGCTCTTGGATGCTTGTCCTCCAAACTGCCCATAATTCACATGAAGAGTGGAAGTCCTGCTCTTCCTCTGAGCTGACTGACACCTCCAGGAAAATCCATTCCTAATTAGTGCTGCCAATCCTGTCTGAGCAGGACTCAAATTGGTGTGGATATTGGCAGCATGGCCCCACGCTCAGGGCAGTTAGTGCTTCCTCAGTGGTGTAGAGTCACCCAGGCTCAGTGCCAGGCTTATCACATCGTGGGTCTTTGCCCTTCTGGTTACTGCTATGCCTTTATTGTTGCAACTTAAAAACAATTAAAAAATTTAAAATGGAAAATCAGATCATTGGTTTTATTGCATGTTAACTTGGGTTCAGAAAGGATTCTAGGAGCTCTGGGATTGTTGTCAAATCTCTAAGAATTTGACAGTACTCAAAAGTTATATTAAACAGTAAATAAAATACTAGTGATTTGGGTAAAAAAAAAGTCTCCAAAAATATCTGAACATCCCTTGAATCAATATCTCTATAGAATGAGCAAACCCATTAATTTTTTTTTCTGCATGATAGCCACTTTATATGAAAATAATCAAATATCGTCCTAGTCTAGAACAAAATCAAGAAAGATGCGTAGTGAGCTGTGTTAAGGAATGCTTAAAGCAGTGACAGTAGTAACTTCCTACAATCTTTCTTCACAGGATGTTGCATTTTTCATTCAAATACATTATTATCTCAGTGAGATGAGAAAAAAAAACAAACAAATTTTTTCCTCATAAGTTTTAGATGAAAAAAAGTAGACACATCAAAAGGCCAAATAATTTGTCTGGGCTTCCTTTTCAAAATTAATTTCCTTTAGATACTTGATTTTAAGCAAATTTTTGAAACATGATTTTACACAATCAGCATGTGCCCTGGAAATCAGACTCTTTCAAAACTGTGCAAATAGGATGCCCAAAACCAACACCAATGCTGAAAATCTTAATTTTATACTTATTTCAAACTATTTAAGAAGACAAACACCTTTTTATCCTATTCCTAACCCACTGATTTACAATAGAATGATATTTTTCTTCTTAAATCTTTTATCAAACCTTCTTAATAAATGAGGTCTAGAATTTACATGGGACACAATATAACAAAGTATATCCACTCCTGATTTTTCTCTAACTTCAGGCTAAACCAATCCTTAAATCAATGTTAGGAAATGTACTTGTGCCTAAATAAATTATTAAGTCTAAAAAGAATGGATAAAAGGTGACTAGTAGTCTTGAATGTCAACCCATACATAGGCCAGTCTAGGGCAACCCAAGAAAAGACTAGAAATGGTTGTTTAGTAGTAATTCAGGGCTTATTTTGGAAGATTGAAGGCTGAGATAGACTTGGAAGACTGTATATCAACAAAATAATTTCTAAAGGCTGAAAAAGGAATAAGACAACACTTTGAAACAGTAGATAAGTGGAGGAAGGGTTCATATAAAATATTGTAAGACTCCTAAAATCTGCAATCTATTATTTCCCCAAATTCAGAAACTAATAAAAAAGTTCTGTATGACAGGCAGCAGTGACCATTTCTATTCCTAAGGACTTCATTATGTCTGCACATAATGAGCCTTTCACATGCTCAGAGCCCAGAGGCTGCATATGGACAAACAGAAATCACAAGAACACTGCCCATATCCATACCTCAGCAGCTACCAAGGTGCCAGTGTATTCCCAGGGAACAGACTCTAGAAAATAACATTCAGGGAAGAAATTAAAAAAAGAAAATCAAGAAATTAGGAACTGTTTTCCAGTTCCATTGGAAATGACAGACATAATGCTTAGCTTGTACCTATCAGTGGAACAACACATATTCAACCGAAAATACCTCAAAAAGATTGAAGCCCCCAAGATAGGAATTTCTCCCTGTCCTTCAAGAACAAATTAGCAAATGTCTACACAAACAAATTTCATAATATTTATCAAATATAAACTCAAATCAGAGAAGCTCTGATTCCTTCCCTAGGTCATAGACAGTTGTTCTGCAAAGATGCAATGATTTCCAAAAACTCCATTTACAGAGCCCAGATCCCCTTTATTTCAGGTGGGAAAACACCTGGAAATCACATTTCCTTTAATAGCAAGAGAAAAATTTTTCTATATAGTACATTGTTCTATAAAGTAGATTTCATGTATCTTTGTGTTAAGATACATATATATGCATAATATTAAATATATATAAATGTATGCACAATATTAATTATCCATTACAAATGGTCTGGAAGATCAGAGTATCTACAAATGTATGTACATATATATGTGTGTGTGTATATATAACATTCATTTAATCTATACATAAATAATTCACATAGGTACGTGTGTTCTTATGTATGTATTGCATGTAAATAGACTGTGAGTGTACATGTTTAAATAAAATGTTGTACTGACTTTTTGATCCCTGTTAACTTGTCTGAAAGAAACATTGAAAAATTCTTGCCTGAGAATAGATAGATAGGATAGATAGGATAGATAGTATTTAGAAACTTAAAGTTCATATCTTGGTACTATATTTCTTTTAGCCTTCCATATTTCCCATTCTAAAGATATTGACTTCTTCCTCCTCATAGTTTCAGAGTGAGGGTATATGAATGTCATTCAAGCAGGGCTGTGTATTTACCCAGAAGACACATTTTTTTTCTTTAATGCTGAACATTAATAATTTACCCTCTAAGATATTGGAATAGCATCAAATTCTACTTACATTTTTACAAGATTTGTATGTGACATCTAGTCTTCCAGGTTCTTTTTGTGAGCAAAGTTCTTTGAATGTGTTCTGTACATAGAAAACTGTACTTTCTTAAGTTATTAATAATAAGTGATTTTAGTACTATATTTGAGTTTCCAGTAACATTTGTATTTATGAAAATTAATGCCTGACAAAGACCTGTGAATGGGAATTCACACCAAAAGTCAAACATTAAAAAAATAAGAGATGTTGAGGCAATGTGATGTGACTGCTTGATTGCCTTTAATTTTTTTTCTCTTTGTTTATGAACTATTCTGCACTCTCCACTTTAAAGTCAAGATGAAAGTCAATTCAGACTGAAGTCATGAAGATAAAAAGGCAACAATTCAGAGATCTGATTGTGATCTTGTGCGTGACCAGCTTCACAGAGGGATAATTCTCCAGCTTTTCCATACAACACTGTGTCTTCTCCAAGGTGAACTGGCAAAAGTTGAGGTCCCATTGATCCCTAATGAAGGTCAGCCATAGTCTTAAGGTAGCTGTCCCTGTACAAATTTCTTCT